GTCAAGGAGATCCAGGGAACAGGGTTTGGAATACGAGGGCAACAGCAGCAGGGCGGTTTTTGCCCGCGCGTGCCAAGGAGATCCAGGGTAAGATTTTGGAATACAAGGGCAGCCGCGACAGGCGCGCCAAGGAGATCCAGGGACAGCATTTGGAATACAAGGGCAGCAGCGGTAAGCGTGCCAAGGAGATCCAGTTACGTGAACAAGAATAAGTCTAGCTACAAGACACAGCAGTAGGAGATACATCGTGCCGTTTTTTTTTTTTTGCGGCGTAATTAGGCGGAGGAAGAACATGTGGGAGAAGTACTGGACGGAGATGGAATATGGGCATCTAAGGGAGAAGAACGATGCACCGGCAGGAGCAATGGCTGCCGGAAGAACGACTGCCGGGGCAGCTGGTGGAGCTGGGCTCGGTACACAACGGGTGAGCATGAAAAATGACGGAAATTGTGCTTTGAGCGGTTACAGCAGCAGTCGCAACCCGCCCAAAATCCCGACGAATTCGACGAAGGCCGTGAGCTGGCTTCGGAGAATGCGGAATTTCCTGGCTGTCGAGGATTTGGAGCGAACCCTTGACCACATGCCATCTACTGGTTATGTCAACGTTATCAGTTGTCTGGATCGCACATACCTGAACCAGACTCACGGTGCACATCTGGTGGCAGCTCACCAGCGGGCGTGGGGGTACATGTTGGAAGCAACCTGCGGCACGGACATTGAAGAACGGTTGGGTGCTTGCGACTGCGTCCCTGAGGCGTGGAGCGTGATCCACGAATGGCTGTTGCCTACTCTTGACGCTGAGAAGACGTTGCTTGTGAGGCGACTTGAGACGATTGAGATGCATCCCGGCGAGGACCCGAAACTCTTCTTCGCCAGAGTAGACGGAGTGATCAACATCATGAAAGCTGTCGGCATCGAAAAATCTGAGCGGGCTATCGTGCACATCATTGTTCGCCAGCTTGCACACGAGTACGATATCGAACGCAAGTCCATCCTGGCCGACCCCACCATTTCCCGAGCGAAGGTGGAAAACGTTGTTCGCGCGGCATACGCCAACAAGGTCATGATGAAGGAATTGGGCAAAGCGCAGGCGGCACCGGCGGCAGCGGTGACGGTTGGCGGGCTTGGGTCCGGTCATGGTGGCCACGGTCAGGGGGGACTACAACGGCGGTGGCGGCAACAGCGGGAGCAGCAGCAGTGGGTTCGTCCTCAGCCACCACCTGCACATTACCCACCTCCTAACTTCCCGACGTGGGGATCTGGGGGGCTCTATGACTGTGGGCGCAACGCTGTGTACCCGCAAGAGGAGTCAGCTTCGCCGCAGGGTGCCCTGATTGGTGTCGTTCATCAGTGCGTGAGATGCGGGAGGCATGGACACTCACTTGGCGACTGCAATGCGCCACGACGCTTTGAAGGCAACTGCACTGCCTGCGGTGAGTATGGCCATCGGCGCCGCATGTGTTGCACAATCGACCGCATGCAACAGCACGTGCCCGTCGGTGACGGAGAGGGTCTCAACGCGAATGGCAACGACGCTATGCCGCACCAGCAGCGGAAGCGACGACGCTGGAGGAGGCAAAGGCATCGACAGGAGGCGATGCTCCCCGTGTTTGCAGCTGGCGCGGTGGCATGGGGAACAGTACCTGCGGCAGGAGCGGCGACCGTTGATGGTGGTTTCCCCACTACGGTGGCGGGGGGAACGGTCGGGGGGCAGGCGCTCGCGGCGGGAGCAGCGGCATCGACGGCAGCACCGGCGGCGAGAGCGGCGACCCCCGGCAGCAGAATCTTCCCCGCGGCGGCGGCAGGGGAGACGGCCGGGGCGCAGGCACTCGCGGCGGGAGCAGCGGCATGGACGGCAGCACCGGCGGCGAGAGCGGCGACCCCCGGCAGCAGAGTCTTGCCCGCGGCGGCGGTGTGGGAGCCGGTTGGGACGCAGGGAATTGCGGCTAAAGCGTCAGCAGCGCAAGAGCCGGAGGACGAGTGCGATGAGGATAGCTGTTGGTTGGGCCATGGCGACGAAGGTGGCAACAGTAGCGACGGCAGCGGTGACGGCGGCATCGGGGCGTTGTCCGTCGGTGCGAGGCATCCCGGCGCCCATCCGACCGTGAGCAATGGCATCTACGTCGTGCGGGACGACGGGGGGTAATGCCAGGAAGGGAGGATCGATCGTGGCAGAAGTGTGCGGCATGAAGTGAGAGACTTGGTGATCGGGATCTCCAGAGGAGGAAGTAAGAGACTTCGTGATCGGGAGCTCCAGTGGGGGATGACCGATGGTTGCAACGACGCAGCTCTGGATCTACGCGCGGTTCAGGCACGTTTGTGAGAATTATTGTGTTTGGGTTATTTCTAGGTTTGGTTTTGTTTTGTTTGTCGAAAACCATGAGTTTGAGAACTGTGTCGACGAAGACTTAGAGTTGCGATGCGCATGGTTGGTTACATTGTGATTTTCATATGTTGGGCATTGAGTTTGGATAATCTAAGAATTCAGCACGCCGAATGGTTCAGTTGACATCGTTGGACCACTGCTAGCACTGCTGTCGAAAATCATGGGGGGGGATGAATGTGATTGTGATGCCATGATCCTCGTCGCAGTACAAGCAGCGTTCTAGCAGACGTTCGGGTTTGGTTTTTGTTCATTTTGTAAACGTTTTCCCCGTTTTACCTGCGGAAAATGAGGAGAATTTCTTGTTTGTTTCCGATTCCGCGTTTTACCTGCGGCTTTCGGAGATAAGGTCATGATATTTGTTTGTTTTCTCGTTGTTAGTATTCGAGAGTTGTGCCTTGCATGTATTGCTGTAGGACGGATTGAGTTCCATGGTCGGAGATATGTTGAAGGGGAGATGTCAATCGGTATATGTTTTGTATTCTGTTTCTTGCAATCCAGACGAAATACTGGATGGCTTGCATTTTCTGTTTCGGGAGTTATTGCAGCAGGAGGGCTGTTAAGTTTTTATGTTTTGGGAGATATTGTGGCCAGGGGCTGCTAAGAAATTGATGTTGTCTCTTTGTTTGAGAAACGGCTTAATTGGTGAAAGTTTCCTCTGGCGTTTAAATATGCGCCGGGTTTTTAACCTTTGTCTCTTTTGCCGTATTTGGTATTTTGGTTTTTCTGAATGATATATTGAAGGAAGGAATTGGCATATTTTGGTAAGACATGGTTGAGGCCTATGTGCTTCCGAAGCTTATTTGAGATTGGTCAATGAGCTGAAACATGGTTTTGTGCGAGGATCTTGTCCGAAGTAATAGTTGACACACTTTTCCGGAGTTGTCCGTCCAAAGTCTTCATGACGTGACTCTGATGTAATGTTGATCTTTGCGGAGTATTTTTCTAAGGATGATTCTTGGTTTTTGGCTGCTTGAGAATTTGGTGACGACATTTTCTCGAGAGGGATGATTGTTAAGACTCTAGTGAAGTTCCAACACATAGTGGATTAAGGAGGAATAGTAACTTGAAATTTGAATATTCAATAGATCGGGAAGTTGAGATGATTTGTGAATATGAAAGATGAATGGTTTTGGTTTTGTTGCCGTTTTACCTGGCGATATGTACGGAAGGTTCGTAGATCGTATCTCGTACCGAGTAGGGGGGCTGTTTGTGTATGTACTCGGCAGGATACAGATCTCCGAGATATCCGAGGGGGTACGCATATATGATAGGTTTGGGTATATGCAGACGTGTGTGCAGCAGCAGGTCCTTCTTGCCTGCTGCTCATGCTTGTCACTCGTACCTCGTTAATAGTTAATCAAGGAACTTGAGTCTCTCCTTTGTGCAACACGCTCTCGACAAGAGCCCGCGAGCGTGATAACATAGTACACGCGCCGACACCCCAAACAAGTGATAAGTTATCTTTTGTCTTCTGTGTACTCGTTGGCTTTATTTTCATGTATAGAGTCTATGCATGCACGAAAGGTCCCATGTTTTGTGTCCAATATAGGTTGATTTGCATGCACGCTTTGTATTCGGCAACACATGTTCACTTTTGACGTACTGGAGACCCACATGCGAACACTTTGTTTGGGGACACAGCACTCAAATACATGTTTACCAAACCGTGGTCATCACCGTGTTCCTCTGACCCTATTGAAAATCGTCACTGGATTTCATTTTCATTTCGACCCAGCTAGTCTAGACTTAATGTTTGGGAGGTGCTTGTCGTGTTCACTTCCGATGGTGCATCGCCAAATCAATGACAGCTTTCGAACGGGGAACAAAACGTTGACTTCTATGGTAAATGTCTACTGTAGTTGTCCACAAAATGACCTCGATGTGTACGGTGTGTGCCATTTGAGGGCTTGGTCAGTTTCGGGACTCCTACGTTTGCAGTCGTATTCCCCCGGCTGGTATTTTTTGCGGGGAGTGAGACAGGTTCGTAAGGCTCAACGTCGCGCCTCGCAGTTCATGTGGCTGCCGAGACGATGAGCGTTCCCACTTTCATGGGGGATGGATCACTACATGTCTCGGTTCAGGATGTTGCACCGAAAGGTAAACTACGCGGGGTGCAGCAAGCCCGTGTTGGGCGTCTCTTGGGGCAGTGGGTAGTCGGCCGTGTTAGGCCGAGAGAGAGAGGTAGAGATAGAGATGGCGTTGGCGTTGGAGAAAGCGTTGGAGAAGGAAACTTGATTGGAGAGAGACGGCGGTAGCGGTGGAGAGAGCGAAAGCAGTGCGCTAGATGCGCGTGCCTTCAACACCGCAACCAAGGCCAAAAGGGTCCCCGTATCTGCATCGGTGGTACCCATCAACATACATACGAAATTCCCAACACGTATCCCCGAGGATCCTCACGTCTAGAGACTGCTGCGAGTATATCAAACATTCCCCCTGCTCGCAACAGAATCTTCACTGCAAATTTCGAAATATTACCGGATATCTCAACCAAAAGACGTCTTTTCCTGAATATTTGCGACCAAGATTACTTCCAAAATATATGAAACGAAAACCAAGTCCAAGAAACATGAATACTGCT